TCCCATCATCATCAACTACGAACCAGAGTTGATATCCTATTGGCGCTCGGCGCCCAGACTACAGGTGGCAGATCCTATCTAACCTATACTACGAAGCAGAATGATGACATCAWCAGCGTTCCCGAAGTACGAGCATATGGCGACCAATGTCGCACGCTTCAGCACCAGGTATGTCTCTCGTAACACTCACAACCCCGATCCACACCACACAGATGTCGCTAGCACCCCAAGGACCACCCTGCGCTTCACCTAGCATACAGCAGCGCAGCTTGGCTATGGCTGCGTGCTCCCTCCTACTCGCCCGTGAGAGCGTGAGTGCCAGCCAGCCAGCGGATGGCGCAGCAGCGCTCACGCAGCATGCAGCCAGCACCCGAATGYCGAATGAGGAGGCAGGCCCTTCCCTATATCGAAGTGGCCTGCCTGCGTCCAGTCCAGGAAGCTTCCGGTAGGCCCCGGTAGGCACAGGCCCAGTCACGAAGAGAGCAAGCCTTGGGCCTGAAGTGGTTGCATGCGCCCAACTGCTTTCGGCCTGTGTTTGGCCCGGTACCCGTATCCAGCCCAGGGCCTGCTTCACATTCATTTACACAGGCGGCCCAGGGCCTGGATTCATTCAACCAACTGGCGCAACGCAACTGTCTGAATTTCCCCGTTGCGGGGTACCCTGAAGAATGAGGCCCGAAGGGCCTGTCGTGCCTGCCTTCATTTAGGGCGGCCGACCTTGTTGCAGATAGGGCCCCGTAGGGGCTAAGCGGGCGTAGCCTCGCACAGATGACGAAACAGAAACACCGAGACCGATATAATAAGAAGAAGGAAGAAGCCCTTTGTGACATCCATTAAAATCGGAATCTGGATGGATGTTGAGAAGATTGAGTAGCATGGCCGCTACGCAAAGGATGGATAACTCGCATTCATCATGAAATGGTCCGGGGAAAAGAAAAAAAAAAAACGAAGAAGGAAGAGAGAGGGAAGAAAGAAATAAAAAGGTGTGTGCGACCGGAATGTCAAGATCCCCGAAACTACCTGATATCCGACGAGAATATCGCACGCTGATAATGAATGCATACAAGCTAGATTTCAGGTCTGGTACAGCCAGGATGACGGCTCGTTGTGCTTGGGGCCTGATCACAAATGTATACAAGGTAGATTTCAGGTCCGATCGTCTTCCCTGAGTGACCAATCAGAGGGCTTACCTACCTACCTTCTTCCCACGAATACGACGTACGGTCGTACGGTCATTACCACTACTCTCGGAAAGTGCAAAAATGAGACTGAATCTGCCCGCAAAACCTGGAAAGATACATTCAATTAGGCATATTTTTTTACTTTTCTGCATGTCGACGGTTACTGTAGTGGAGCGAGGCCCTTTTACAAGTCCTTCGGGACATCATTTAAATGGAATGGTCCCTGCGCAAGGATAAGACATTCACGCAATGTCATCGAAATCGAGAGAAGAATTTTGCCCGTCGAATCAATCCTTGCTCTGTCAGCACAATCCACTGCCTCATGAAGAAAGGGAAAAACAAAAAAATAAAATAGAACCCACTGCCTCATCAAAAAAAAAAAAACGTGCGCCGCGTCTATTACTCGCCCAAACATATGAATTTTGTGTTATGCGTTATGCGACACAACGCACAAAACACAAACCCACCGGACCACGCCGAAAATCAGCTTCCGTTGCTTTTCGATTCGCCACTTCTCTCTCTCTCTCTCTCTCTCTCTCTCTCTCTCTCTCTCTCTCTCTCTCTC